TAACATGTCCTGATGTCTTCATACATGACCTGCTGTCCTCATACATGGCCTGTACCAGTTTAACATGTCTTACTGTCGTCCTTTCAGATGCTTTTTCTAAATCCACAAAGACACAATGGAGTTCTTTCTGACCCTCTCTGTACTTCTCCATCATCATCCTCAAAGCAAAGATGGATCTATGGTGCTCTTTCTTGGCATGAAACCAAACTGCTGCTCACAGATTCATTCGTTCAACCTTTACTCTAACAGGTTAGTCCCACTGAACGATGAGGACTCATTTACAAGAGAGGCCTGGTTGCTTCCACAACTCTCTCCCAGATCTTCATCGTGTGACTCATCATCTTAATTCCCCTGCAGTTGCTACGACTCTGTACATCACTCTTGTTCTTAAAAATGGCCACCAGCATTTTACCACCTTTACTGTTGCTGTAGTAGTCCAGTCATCTGGAAGCTCTTTCTTACCACCCAGAGCCTTTAACAGCTCCTCTCTGAATTTCTCACATCGTTCTTCCTTCTTCATCCTCCACTGTTTGGTCTTCTTCTCTGATTTGACTCTTTTCCTCTTCTTCACGACAACAGACTTCTACACACAACCATCCGATGCTGTCTGTCCACGCTCTCCCCTGTTGACAGAGTTTTCAAATCAACGTTTTTTCAACATCAGAGAGTTTCTGAATTTCTTTTGTGCCTTTTGGTTTTGGTGCCCCCCAAGTCTGGTTTCTGTTTTTCAACCCGACTCCTCTCCATTTGTCTGTGACTCGTGCGGTCGTGTTGCGTAACGCCGATCGTGGCCTCAGAACCTCGATCAGTCTGACCGGACAACAGAACCAGAGCCTGAAGTCAGGTTGGATTCTGGGCGTCTCTGTGATGGACAGGAACAGGAAGTAGCTGCAGCTGCAGACGGATTCAGCTCTGACGACGAACAGAGCCGCTGTGTGTGGACTGAAGTCACATAGAGACGTCTCAGACGTGCTCGCTGACGTCTCTGCACTCTCCCAAATCCCATCTGGGTCTCATTTTAACCACAGTTATTTAGTTTTGATTTAAAAGCTTTTAGTTATTTTATAAATGTAAAAACAAATTTGTTATATTAAAGTAAAAATATGAGTTAATAAGACAATACTACTGATTAAATCCAACTTTACCACTTTGTTTAAAAATCTGCTTAATGAATAAAGGTGCTCAGACTAATTGAGCAATCGTTATGTCACGTGGTGGCACAGTGGCTCAGTTGGTAGTGCCTCTCAGCGAGAAGGTCACCGGTTCAAATCCCGGCGGGGGTCTTTCTGTGTGGAGTTTGCATGTTCTCTCCGTGCTGCGTGGGTTTTCTCCCACAGACCAAAAACATGCATGTTAGACTGATTGGTAACTCTACATTGTCCCTAGGTGAGAGAGAGAATGGTTGTTTGTCTCTATATGTCCTGCGATGGACTGGAGACCTGTCCAGGTGTCCCCCGCCTCTCATACTGCTGAATATGAACACCAGTGACACCCACAACCTGAAAAGGAAGAAGCGGGTTATGATGGATGGTTATTACATCTAAACTTCCTTCATACGGTGGTGGGGGGTGGGGGGGGGGGGGGGGTGCTCCACCTGAGTTTGGGTGAGGAGCTCCGTCACCCAGGGTGAGCTCAGAGTAGAGCCGCTGCTCCTCTGCATTAAAAAGAGCCAGCTGAGGAGGTTCATCTGATCAGGAGACCTGTTGGAGGGTTTCCAGGCACGTCCCACTGAGGAGAGACTCTGGGTCAGACCAAGAACTCTCTGAAGGGATTATAGTTCCTTCCTGGCCTTGGACCACATCAGGGCCCCCCAGGAGGAGATGGAGAGTGTTTCTGAGGAGGCCTGAGGTTCTCTCCTGGACCTCTTGTCTCTGAGACCTGACTGTGGATAATCAGTGGAAGATGGAGATGATTTAAACCAGCTCATGAACACTCACCAACAATCAGTTAACTGAACATGTGAAAAGCAGACGTCAGAAATCTCAGATTATATTTTTCAGAACTGAACGTTTCGATGAAGAAACTGACTCCAACGGTGCAGGTCATAGAAGAAGAAGCTGAAGCTTCAGATCAAGTTTTTTAGAGGAAATAAATTTAAAGGTGGACTTGTCTTCGTCCTCCATCCTCTTTGTTGCAGGAGATGGACGTCTCGATGACGGCGGGAGCGGCTCCTGGACAGATCTCAGCATCTTGAACAGATTTGATCCTGTCGGGCCCGTCGACAGCTGATGATGGACAGGACGTGTCAGCTAATGCTGCCGTCATCACCCTGAAGCTGGGTCGGGTCGGGCTGAACCCACTCATCCTGAATCAGAACCAGACTGAAGCTTTTACTTCTGAGTCGGACTGATGAAGAGCCACCAAGAACCAAAACAGCTGCTGCAGTCAGAAGTCCAGTCTCATTAAATTAATTTGATCTGCTTTATGGAAATAAAAATGTCAGATTATTAAAACAAACAAACAACATTAATAACTTAGCTCCTAAAATAACAACAACAAAAACAACAAAACGAAACAAAAAGGCTGAGACGACAGAACCAGAACCAGAACCAGAGTAGGGGGTTAAGGGGCAATTTAATTCAATTCAGTTTATTTCTATAGCACCAAATCCCAACAAAGTTGTCTCAGGGACTTTACAGGAACATTCACATAAAAGCCAATTAGTAAAGTTCTCCATCTAA